TGCACAGCATGGAATGAGACTGTATTAGGGCAAGTGCAGCAGCAGGGTGCCAGGGTCCTCTTCTTTCTGTACCCTGGGTACCTACCTATCCCCATGGGGTCATATAGCCCAGCAGCGGGGGGGCCGTATTTGGGTTGGTTGGATCCCCCAAGCAGGCAGAGGCACTGCTCAAAGAGGCAGCCCCTGCTCCCTGCCACCCATAGCCCAGGGGGAGCAGGTTCTGAGCAGAGTCAGGGCCCCATTTCCTGTGCAGTGGGAGCATCGGAGCATCTGGCAGAGACCTCTGGGCTCCTGGCAGCCCCGTGGCTGTTACCGCCCTGAAGGAAGCAATTAGCTCCTGCTAGCAAAGGCTGGTGTCAGGGAGTCGCCTCTCTCCAGAGAGGTGCAATGGTGCAGAGGCACTGGGAGCCAGGGGCAGGCTCCGCCGTGGAGCCAGGCCACCTTCTGAGGCCTCTTAAAGCCAAGCGGTGCAAACAGGGACAGCCAAGAACTGGGCTAACAGCAAGGGACAGGGGCTGTGGGCCAGGCTAAAGAGGGCTCAGCTGAGTTCCGTATAGGGAGCCCCATATGGGAATAGCTGCAGGGGCTGCAGGACTGGCTGACGCACCCCTGTCCTCCCTGGTACACTCACTTATAGGTGAGATTAACATGGTCCCACTTATAACCAAGTGGGTTGATGGCATAGCGTCTCCTCCTGCCCATGCGACCTCCTTGTGAGACAGTGAAGCCGGGCTCTGACTTTCGGGGGGCTGTCGCTCCCTCCTGCAGGAAAATAAGACAGGCCCCCCCCGGGTGAAGCAAGAGGAGCAGCTGGGCAGGATCTTAGCCAGGCTTCCCCCACACCCTGCCTCCCACCCAGCCGGCGTGGTGTTGAACCCTCTGCCCCCATTAATGCCAGAGACCCCACCCAGACCGCACCAGGTTTCGGGCAGCTCCCAGCTCTGACTATTCAACACAAAGGGGCAGAAGGTTTCCATCCAAACAGCGCCAGCGCTAGAGGCTTCCCCTGGCAGCTGCCTCTGGGGCCACCCAGGGACCGCCTCCTTCCCAATGGGCCCTGGGACTCCTGAGCTGTCCCTGCAGTGCATCTCAGCAGCCCAGCATGGGCCTCAGTTGTCACTACGAAAGCCCAAGGGCAGCCCTTGGGAAGCATCTTCCTCTGGGGTGTTGCATTGGGCAGTATCCACCAACCAATGGCAGTTGCAGGTTAGCAAAGAGTACGGGGTCGGGAGGGTGGCAGCCAAACTCAGACCAAGGAGTTCTGCCAGGCTGCTCCAGGGGAGACTACAGGTCTCAGCGTGCACTGTGACAAGTGACCCCAGGTCCCTCTGCCTACCAAGCCTAGCCAACCCCCCCAGGAAAGCTATCAGCTGCGATCTGCTCTGTTTTACCCCCCTGAGGGGCAGCATTCGGGCTCCTGGTGCGTTGCACAAAGGGAGCAGCACTGGGGGTTTATGCTCCAGCTCCATGGTTCATTCAAGGACCCAGCGGGCAGAGAGAGGGTCCCCTCTTCCCCATGGGATGGTGCTGATTTCACTCCGCACCTGCCCTTCCCCCAGCCCAGGGCCCATTGAAATCTGGCTCAGAAAGCTGAGATCCCCTCTCCCCCACCAGCCCTGGAACCAGGGCAGGTGCTGGGCTGCAGGCTCTGCCGCGTGGAGAAAATTCCTCTGGTGTATTTTTGGCTCTTTTCCCAGCTCTGGGCGATGCCGGCCAATGCGGCAGCTGAGGAAGTGGGGAGAGGCGAAGGGCTCAGAGGGAAAGGGGCTGGAAAGCCAGAAGCCCCTTTCACTGGCCAGAGCACCCCCCATGATTTCAACGGGAGGAGGCAGAGGCAGCTCCGTGCCTGGTTCTAGCAGCCTGTCTGCAGCACTCTGGCTAAGAGATCCAAACTCCCGGGTTCCTGGCAGGATTCCCCTGCTAACCCCTAACTTTGCCTCCCTGACTTCTGTTCCCCCTCCTGCACCCCACCGTACTCTACAGCCCAGCTCTCCCCCCTCCCAAGCGAGGGGAGCGGCTACACAAAGCCCCGGAGTGCAGCGTCTCAGTGGCAGAAGTTCTCCACTCACCTTGTGATTCCAGCCAGCTCCTTGCAAAGTCTGGAAAACCACCAGCAGCAGGATCAGGAGAGCAGCCGCGGCCCCCCACCACCTTCGGTGTGGCTGAACAGGCAGATGGGGGCCCGGGCCCATGGCTGGGCTCAGCTCTCCCCTTCCCCAAGCGACAGGGCTCAATACAAAGTGTCCCCTTACCCCCACAGTGGCCGATCCCACCGACAGCCACCCGCATGTGGGCCCTCTGCTGTGAGCGCACACGTCTGCGAGGAGCCCCCAAGCTGCAGTGCAGCCGGCCCCAGCCCTGCTAGATTGGATCCATCTGTCCACCATACACGGAAACAAAGCAAAGCCCCACTTCAGCCGTTCCTGCCTCACTGCCAGATGCCGACCCCTTCCCCTCCCCAGCACAGCACCGGCAGCCGGACTGTCGCACCGGGTGGTACGCCACGACCTCTCCCCACATTTCTCCAATTCTGTCCCCTTCAGCCTGAGCATCCCCCACTTCTGAGTTACTTGCAACTCCATCCCCTGCCAACCACTCCAGCCCTGCATCTCCCCGCTCTCATTCTGCCAATGCCCCCAGTCTGTCCTGGGCTCCCTGACAGCCCAACGGCTACCCTTTAGTCTCAATGGTAATTAGGACCACAGGACCAGAAGGAAGCCCCTGGCTCTCAGAGACCACCAGCAGTATGTTTCGGGTGCCCAGGGCAGCCAACAGAGAGGTAAATCACTGTGGGGAGGGGGCCAGACTGGTACAGACCCAGCTGGTGGCTCCTACCCTGCGCCAGGCTCAGCTGCAAGTCCTGGCTGGGCTGGAGAGGCAGGGCCGGCTCTAACTTTTTTGCCGCCCCAGGCAAAAAAGAAGAGCACCGCCCTGCTATAATACTCCCTCCAGCGCCGGGCCGGGCCGGTGCGCCGCCCAAATCCCCAAGCACCGCGCCGCCCAAACCCCCCTCCCCCCCCCCGCCCCCCCCCGCCGAAACACCCCCCATGCTGCCCGGCTGAAACAAAAAAAACCCCTCGAGCGCCGCCCCGCCGAACAAAAACAAAAACCCCAAAAACACCGCGAGTGCCCCCTGCCACCCCAACATTGGCTGCCACTTCTAAGGTGCCGCCCCAAGCACGTGCTTGGTCGGCTGGTGCCTGGAGCCGGCCCTGTGGAGAGGACAGGACTTCCTCTTCCCCTGCATGGCATCTAGGGCCGGGTCCGACCCACCCCCAAATTTCTTCTCCCGGCTGCAAGAAGCTCTGCAAACTCCCCATCTCCTGCACCCATCTCTCCTCAGCTGTACGGGGAGGGATCACTGTACGGGGAGCTGCATCCCCATCTTCCCAATCCCCATGCATCCAGACCCTCCTCCTGAGCCTCCCCCACACTCAGAATCCCCCCCAATGAGCTCCACTCCCCCTGCACCTGGACCACCCCAATGAGCCACTCACACCCAGATCCCCACCCCACCAGGCCCCAACCAGCTGCACCTGGATCCCCACCTCACTGAGCCCCATTCCCCCAGCATCTGGACCCCCACACCAACCCCCCTGCTGAGCTCTATCCCCTCCATACCCAGACCACCCCCACTGAGCCCCAACCACCTTCACCTGGACCCCCCGCAGAGTCCCATTACTGTTGCACCAAGAAAACCCCAAAAAGCCCCTGTGCATCCAGACCCCCCCTGTACCCGGATCCCCTCTGAGCCACCTGCACCCAGATTGCCCCACACAGAACCCTCTCAACCCACACCTGGATCCCCCACCCTAAGCCCCTCCACACTTGGATCCTCTTTTGCGGAGCCTGCCTGCCCACACCTGACATGGAGGGGCAGGGCCCTGGGGTGTTTCTTGGGCAGGTGCATTCCTTGCGCTGTGTCAGGGTTAGGTGCAGCCTCATCACTGAGTTTGTGTCCTGGGGGCAGGGGGTTGGGGGACAGCTGCAGGGTGATCTCCCACTTCCCTTCAGCCAGTGGCCTGTGCTTCCCACTGCCATGCTAGAGCCTCCAGATTTATTTAACAAATATAATTTGCAGAATTTGAAAACTGTGCACAGAATTTGTATTTTGTTGGCGCGGAACGCCCTCAGGAGTACCTGGAGTTCGTTTAGTACCAGCACGCAAGTGAGTGGGGCCTGTTCTGCAGAATGAGGTGGAATCTGTGTCTGTGACCGTAACTACATCTCCCCCTCCCTCCTTAAGACTCCCTTATGCTGGGGGAAGGCCAGTGGTTTGGCACTGCTGCCTTTGCCAATCATGACGGGCTCACTCTTCACCTCAGCCCCCGCACTTTCCTCATCAACAAGACGGAATTCAGTAAAGAAATACACAGTACTACACATCCGGAAGGATGGGTGGGGAGAGAATCCAATGCACAAATACACAATGAGGAATAAACAGCTAGGCCGTGGTACTGCTGAAAAGGCTCTGGGGGTTACAGTAGATCACAGATTGTATATAAGCCAACACATGATGCAGTTGCCAAACAGGCTAACTTTGTGGGGTGTATTAACAAGAGCATCGTGCATAAGACATGGGAGGTAATAGTCCTGCTCTACTCAGACCTGCTGAGGCCTCAGTCAAAGTATCGTGTACAGTTCCAGGCCCCATACTTTTAAGATGTGGATGCTTTGGAGAGCATCAAAAATGATAAAAGGTTTAGAAAACCTGACCTATGAGGAAGGGTTAAAAAAACTGGGCATGTTTAGTCTTGAGGGAAAAAAAGGCTGGGGGGTGGGTGGAGGGGAGAACCTGGTAGTCCTCACATATGTTAAGAACTGTTATAAAGGGGACAGCGATCAATGGTGCTCCATGTCCACTGAAGGTAGGACAAGACTGTAATGGGCTTAATCTGTAGCAAAGGAGATTTAGGTTTGATAATAGGGGAGACTTTGCAACTCGAAGGGTAGTTGAGCTGTGGAACTGCTTCCAAGAGAAGTTACGGAATCCCCCTCCCTGACCATTTTTACCATCAGCTGGATAAATGTTTCAGGGATGGTCTAGGTTTACTTGGGATGTTTCACCACAGAGGGCTGGACTTGATGATTTCCAGGTCCCTTCCAGGCCTACATTTCTGTGATTGAGTTGCTTTAAGCACCTGTTGTGTCTATACATGCTGAGTTTTGGGATGGGGCTATTCCTCTGTACAGAACCTAGAACCCCACTCTCTGCCCGGGGTTGGTGCATGCTAGTGGAATAAAAAGAAGTCTAAGTCACTACAGCAGAATCAACTCTCAGTAGCAGGGAGGATTTGAGCTGCAAACACAAATCAGTGCCCTGCTCAGGCCCAGCCAACGGCACCAGTTTCACACAGGAACATCACAGAGCCTGCAATTGGACTCAGCTCAAACAGGAAGGGATGTCTACACTGCAAACAAACCAAAGACACCTCGCTACGGGGCTAAAAACAGCAGTATAGACATCCAGCTCAGGCTGGAACCCAGGCGCTGAGACCTTCCTCCCTCCCTCACTGGGGCTCACAGCCTGGGCTCCAGCTTAAGTGGAAACACCAACACTGATATTTAGCCCCATATCACAAGCCCCGGTTTTGCTGGGTTTGCTTGTTTTTTGGGTGGGGAGCGTAGACATAGCCTCATGCTTGTTCCCTAAATGTAAGTGACTTGAGTAAGGAAGCTGGCTGGATGACAAGTGTGTGCTCTAGTTTAAAATAGAAACCCTGGTGCTAGGAGAGGAGAGGATGCAGAGGGTTTGTTCGAGTGACGGTCAGGGCTCTTGCGTGCACCTAGAGACAGGACAGAAGCCCTTCTCATTACGTGTTCAGTATTTCTAGAGCCATGTACCAAGGGGAGCAAACCCTTGCCAGGCAGGCGGATTTTACTGCAAGTCCCGGTCAGAACCAGTACTAGAAACGGAGTTCCTAGCCCCAAGCTAGTACTGCTCTCGGTCACATGAGATGGTGGCCCCAGCCCAGGCTGCAGCAGTCCAGAGCAGGAAATCCTAGGCTATTCATCCACCCCCACAATACATACCAGCTGTTCTGCCTCACGTAGTTGTGGTCACTGTATGCTGCCGCCAGCCCAGACAGCTTCGAAGGCCTTTGGGGGAAGATGATGCTGGTGGCAGTAGTTTGCCCAAGAACACCCTCCACAGCCCACCAGAGGAAAGGTAGCTGAGCCTGCTAGTCTGAGCACTTCAGCCACAGGGTCTCAGTCTGCCAGCTAGAGGCACTGATGGCCCTGGAGGGGGGCTGAGGGGGAGGAGTATATACACCACACTAACCTGTGCTACTGCTGGCCCACCCCAGAAGACAGGCAGCTGGGCACTGGCCTCTGCCAGACTCCACTGATCCTGGGGAGTGAGTGCCCCAGCACTGAACCCAGCTGGCTTGAATGACCGTGGGGTCCACTCAGCTTCGGTTTAGAGCCTTACACAAACTTTAACTGCTTCTACAATGGAGCACCCTGCCCCCTCCCACTCAGGAAGAGAGGGGGGGCTGAGCTACATGGATGGCTCTCAGGCTGCTTTCAGTGGCAAGAACAGCAGAAGGGAACTGCTTGAATGTATTCTCTGCCATACAACCAACAAGGACCTTGGGCCTTGCAGAGAACAAGAACCAAAGCTGCGCTGGATTTGCCATGGGGACGACTAGTACTCAGCTGCCGAGTACTGCCTCCAGCAACTCACAAGGAGGGACACTTCTGCAGAAGGCAAACACCTCGCCCACTCTGGCAAGATAGATCTCCCTTCCCCCAACAGCAAGCCGCTCATCCCCAGAGCGGGTCAGAATTCCCTCCCCCAGGAGCAACAAGCTTCCTGTTGGTACCAACATCCTTGTGGAGCCCAGATAGCCCAATGAGCACGTCCTTGGGGACTGCAGATGGGACAAGTAGGGGGATGGGCTCCATGCCCAGATCCTGAGACAGCATCCAGCCAGGCTCAATGCAGCTGATGGTTCTAAGGTAGTACCAGTAGTTTGCAACTAGGGCCTTGTTTTTGTATTAGGGACCATAGCAGAGGCTGCTGCGTAATGCTCTTCCCCTAAACAAAGGGCGCTGGAAACAGGGCAGTGCCTACTGCAACTAGCACTTCACTATGGTTAGATGTCGTTACGATGCGCACGCTGACACTATGGCTTTAGGGAGCCACTGCCTATGCCCCAAAGGAACGGGAAGTTCCTGACGTGGGGTCCCGAGACAGACTTACATTATCAGACAAGGACCGACCGGCAATTCCAGGCACAAGCCCTCCAGCATTAGGCTACAAGGAAGGCTCCATGTTCTGACTCCGAATCTCACCCCCCTGCTGCAGAGATGGCTCCAAAAGGCTCTGTTCTCACTTTGAGAATTAGCCTGCGTGGCTCACGGTAATTAAGGATAACAAAGCAGAGGTGCCTACCTGAGTCTGCAGACACCCTAACATGAGGGCAGGGGGAGGAGCTGCCCCATTCATCTCAGTGGATTGAGAAGCCAACATTAGCCCAATGCACCCACCCCTGAATCGACTGCTGGG